TGGGACAATTAACGCGCAATATATTTCGCGCTACTAACGCGTGAGCGGAGAGTTAATCCGTCTTAGAAATCGTTCCAAATTGGTTTAACGAAGCTTATTTGCCATAATTGGTTTGTTACAAGTAGCGAAATCTATCCTTTTGTACTTTTTATGGCGTGTGGGGGGATGATTTTTATAAAATAATTTCAAATTTTTGAAAAAAAAAATTTCATTTTGTTTAATTACTTTTAATTTTTTAATGATATTACTGCTCCATAAACCTTAATGGGCAGTCAGAACATTCAGGGCTTCGCCCTGATACGAGCAGTCTTGTTTATTTCAATATTGAAATGTTTTAAGAATGCTGAGGGATTTTTCTTTTTTAGAATTTATTCAAACCATTTCAAAAATGTTCAGCGCTGTAAAAAAAGGTCATAATTAAGTTCCATCAAAATCATAGGTTAATTTGCATTATATTGAAAAAATTGGGATTACTTGTTCGATCACCTACTGTTTGAACAGCGTGAACTTCGTGTTTTTTTTCTGATGTTCTTTAGAGCAATAAAACATACTCATATCTGTCCCAAAACTCTTCCCCAACTCCTCCCAATCAACTGCGTTACCTGTTCTGACTCATCCGTTTGGCCTGTTTCTTTTCTAAGTTGCCAATGAAGGGATTTGTAATTGGAGGCCCGCTGTCCTGAAACCAGCAGAGTATACATGATTAACACTGAAACCCCTATTACCAGAGTTTCAATAAATAAGCATCGATTTCATGGTGTAACGAGCGGTGTAATGACCTAATTAGTCCGTATGCCAAATTTTGTACCAATCCGACAATGTGAACAGAAAAATTACTCTAAAAAATTGCAGCCGGGAAGAAAAGGAAAAAGAGTCATAAATAGCCATGAAATGTTCGCAATAACTAATTTTTGGAAGTTTTCCCCTTCATTATGATTTTTTTCGTTATATGCAATTAATTCGTTTTCACATAAAGTAGCACATTTTTAGCTGTCATTTTATCTGTTGTTTTGTCTCAATCTTTGCAGCTTTCAACTAGGCCTTCCGATATTGGCCTTCCGATATTCAATGTAAAAGCGGAATGAGGCAAGACATTCAAGTTGTTGTTTCTAAGAAGGACAGATCTCAAATGATTTCGGGTTCAAACCCGCGTGCGCTGCAGTTTACAAGGTGAGCTCTTGTAAGATAACCATAGCTTAGTTAACCCTAAATAATTAACCTTCGGGTTAAGCCAATTAACTAAAGAAAACAAATGTATGTGTGTCTATGTGTGTAAGTGGGTGTTGAGTTAAGACCTTTGGCCTGTAGATGGAATATGATTGGTTAGTTAGTATTATTTTATAGTGGTAATTTATCAATAATATAATTGGTTTATAAATAATAGTTTAGAACTGGTTTCAGTGTGTTACCTCGTGGTCTTTGAGCTGGTAATGGGCCCTGTGTTCGTTTGCTTTCCTGTAGTCGAAGTAGGCCTTCACCATCAGCAGTTCATCCACCCGCTCGTTCAGCCTTGCCAGACAGTCCGATACAGTCTTCTCTGTGATCTGCTTGTCTGGACCTGAAAGCAACACCGAAACATAACAAGTTAGTCGAAACTAACATCATGATTTATTTTTAGTGCTTTTATCATCTGAACTTAGCGCTTTTTTCCCGTTTCCAAACTCTTTTTAAAATCACAGCAGAAAGTCTCGAAAAATTGTTGGTACGGTAATTTACACATTAGAAATAATGTATTACTTTGTTCACTTGCTTACGCTTTTTTTATTGAAGTTCAAAACATCAAAAAACATTTTGAATTAAGATTTCCTGAAAAAATTTCTAACAGTACTAAAACAAATTTCAAACCAAAAGTACTAAATTATCTCATGCTTGTGTTATTCATAAAGACCAGCCGCTTTTGTAAGCTTTTGAATAATCTTTTCAGTTTTGTAAATTACGAGTTAAAATTTTAGATAAGTTAAGTATTCGATATATATGGCCGCGTCCAGACAATTCGGCCAAAGACAATTCAGCCGATTTGAAATTCAAACAATTCAGCCAAAAATATGCCGACATTTCAGCCAGAGACAAATCAGCCAATAATAGTGAATTGATTTGAGGGGGGGAGTCGAGCACTCCGCAGAACATCAATTGAGAAATAGTAGTGACAGATAAGGAAGAGAGCGTACCAGTACCAATAAGCATCGTGCCGGCCCAATCAGAGAAAAAAATTGAGCGATGTACAGGTAATCGAAGTGGACCTTACGATCACTGCCGATATGGACGAAGAACAAGAAGTGTGCGCAATAGAACCACCAAAACGACAAGCACATAAGCCGAAAGAAGACAAGAAGCTGCAAAAGCAGCAAACGGAAGATACACTAGATAATCTTTCAAAATTGTTTGACAAAAGCCTTCTCGCAGAACTGACCTCAGAGGATACTTGGATGGATCGGCTGAGACGAGTCATTGAACATGTAGACAAACAAGGATTTGAGCTGATGGGATCCTATACTAATCCGCCGTGGTCACAGATGGCAGTACAAGACGACTGCATACTGGTAAACGACCGGCTGGCAGTACCACTGCAATTGAGACAAGCAGTGCTCAAGAGAATCCACCGGGCTCATCCGGGTCAGAAAGCCAGGCTGGAAGTCTCACAATATCTGTGGTGGCCGCTCATGCATAAGGACACAGTGAATCTAGCGGAAGAGTGCCGTAGTTGCACCAGATATGACAAACAGCACTTGGAACGATCGGCCTTCTCAGCATCACAACTCAAACGGAGGATCGATCAATCCAGGGAGAGTTTAAAGATAGTCAGGAGGGGGACCTCAGCCGGGACACCAGCCCACTGTACAAGCAGCAAGTGCACTCGGATTGAGACCGTCAGAGAACAAAAGCTTTCAAAGAGCTACTAGAGGCAAACGCTCGTTGGAACGAGTAGCGCAGAGACGCGGCGACTAACAATATTCGAAAAACCGTTGACGAAACGGGACAATCTAACCCGGAGCTAAGGAAAGAATTGATCTACTATTGGGAAAAAGGATTCATCGAGGACAAAGAAGAAGAAGAAGGCATACAGTCGACGAAAAAGACAATTTTGCAAAAAGACGACTCACGAAAGAGTGGTCAGGTGCTCATGAAACCGTTGAAGGGGAAAATAGTAACGGAATCAAAATCAGCAGCAAGAACGTCGGTAGGGTCGATCTATCGAAAATCGGATATCGCTTAGGCGAAGAATAGTCTACCACAGGACAAAAAACAAAAGAAAAGCCCATCGGCGGAACCGAAAAAAAAGTTGCAACGAAACAGCTCTCCAGAAATTCTTGAGAAAATCGGCTCAGATGAAGAACTGCGACGGCAGGTGGAATTAGCTGACTTTGTAAATCCGATTGACCAATTTCAACGGAGCGAAACAGTCATAACCTCAAAAGACACCGAATGAGGGGGTCTAAGTTTGGCCATCAAAACAGCTAAACCAAATACAGGAGGAACTAGTTCGATAGCCGGTCCGAAAATTCAGGAGGAAGTCTTAATACAGAAAACAGAGAAACAATCAAGAAACAAGAATCAAGTCAATCAGCCGGAAACATCGACAAAACAAACTGCTCCTGCAATTAGTACCCCGGACAAAGACGTACAATCAAGCTCCACGCCTAAGAACAAACAAAAAGCTAAATTGAAAAAGATCGATGTGTCCACCAGACCGGAAGATATTCTGGACACCTTTCAGAATAGGAATTTGGCACCGGCAGAACGGAAAAAAAACTTCTCAAGAAGGGAGTGCAAAAAGTCGCAGACGAACTTAGGGGACAAAGTCAGCCAGCAGCTAGGGGACAAAGATCTGAGTGTTTAAAACTCTTGATAATATAATTTTTTTCTTAAATCAGAAAAATTTATTTGCAATCGATGGGGTATGTCATACAGCCACTGCTATAGCAGTAATTGAATGGTGTAACTATAACCTTCAGTGCCATTAATTTTTATTGTTAAGATGTGTCCAAGGTCATCAGATCAGAGACATTGACACGCAGCTGAGAGCTCAGAGTAACAACTGCTGGACTACTCTCAGTAGCCATAAAAACAAAAGAAAAAAACAATTAATTCAAGCCGAATTTAATACATTCTTGAATTACAAATTAATTTTCCATAGCGATACCTCATAGGATATCACAGACTCTATGAAAAATTTAGAGCCGGTTATCGCCGCGAAGTTTAAACCGGCGATCTTAAACCGGCGATCTTAAACCAAGAAATAACTCCAATTCCGATATTTTTATTTCGAATCTAGCGTTTTCTAAAACTGGCTTAATTGTCTCAGGCTGAATTGTCTGTATATTTTTGGCTGAATTGTCTGAATTTCAAATTGGCTGAGTTGTCTTTGGCCGAATTGTCTGTGCGCCGTATACGGCTACTTTGGAACATGTCTCATTAGAATCGATTACCGTGTCTTCGCGACCAAAAAAACTAATTTAAAATGAGTTTCAATCGTTTAAAAAACACTGGAACCCATATTGAATCGATTCATAATCGGCAACCTTTCAGAATTATATAGCCTGCAAACAAGGATAGTTTTTTGGAAATATTTCCCCTAAATTCCATTCAATGGGTAAGTTTATACCAGCTCTTCTCACCCAGTCTATTAGCGAGACAGTCGCTGACTCCGCCGGCTGTCTCCAGGCACTGCTGGATCTTGTCATACACCCTGCGGAGGTCCTGCTTCTGGCTGTTCAGAGTGGCCCTCCTCTTCTCCAGAGTGATCTGGGTGGACCGCCTTCTGCCCATACTTCCAGATCCACCACCATGACCACCACCACCCATCGCCAACCCCGATTGGGCCCTGGTAACACAGTTTCAAAATTTCCAGAAAAAAATACGGTTGACACTTTTAAGCGGAAAAAAACCCAATTCGAGAAAACTGGATCATTGGGTAACGTTTTATTCCGCTTGGGAATCTAAAAATTGAAATCCACCTTTGAAACTTGAATATAATCAACTTTTTTGTGACCTTTACACTTTTGTCAAGACATGTACTCTTTCGACCTTTATTTTTTCTAAATTACCTCAACTTGTAATGACCTTAACAATATTTTTTTAAATTACCTAGACTGAAAAAAAAATCAGATGAAAAGAGCTGAAAAGATCTAAAATTGCCGAAATTGAAAAAATCTCAAGTTATTTTTAGCAAACTTGATTTAAAATTATATGAGCTGAAACAACTTAAAATTGTCCAAAATAAAGATAATTATTTCTAAATTTGTCTAAAATAAGAGGAGCTAAGTTTTCTGAGCCAAAAGACCTAATTATGTCTACACTAAAAATATAAAGTTAGATAAGCTAAAAACACTGAAAAAAGTATTTAAAACAAATTTAAAAAATCAACACCACTAAAGCAATCAAAAGTATCAAAAATTAAGACAGTATAAAGTCACTTATGCTAAAAAAGTTAAAGATATCTGAGCTACGAACAGTTAAAGCGTCTAAACGAAGTTCTTAAGCAATTAAAATATTTTAAAAAATTATCTACTAAAATGATCCGAGACTTTCAGCTTTATTTCTCCAAGTAATACGAAGTCTTTTTTAAAAAATCTTCACAGTCAGATATGGAATTTCTAAAATATCGAAAACCTTAATTTCGCAGCAGCAGCACTTGTCTACGTGCAGTTCTACTTTTGAGTTCAACTATGCGTTAAAATGGTTTTTGAATACATATTGATTATGTACATTCCCATAGTTCGAAGCTATTTTTGATTAAAATTCGATTTTGTGCTCGACTTTGACATTGACTGTGTTTCAAATATGTGTTCAACTAAATTGGCGAAAAAATATATCTCAGACCCAGGGCGGATCTAGGATTTTCTCGTTCGAACTGAATGTCCGATCTTCCAAAGCATTAAAAAGGCCCCGTTTTGGTAAAAATTTTCTGCACAAAATTTTGAAAAAATAGGCCCAAAAAGGCATTTTTAGGCAACTTTCGGAAAATTTTGATTAAAAAAAATGGGTTTTTTGGCGCGCGCATCCCTCTCAAAATTAGTATATATTGGCGCCCAAGGAACCCTTAGGAAAACTTTAGGGTCCGTCACCAAATATAGATATCTCAAATTAGTACAACAGGGGACCCTTGGATAGAAGAGAGACAACGGCGGGCCGCCTTTCCCAAGCTGAGGGGAGAAAACAGAAGCAACAACAGTGTAGAAAAGGCCGTCAACACCATCAACGACACCTGTCCTGAGTTTGTGATCTACACGGATGGCTCCGCGGCGGACGGAACCAGAGACGATGGCTCTGCAGTTGTAGTCACGACAGGCGACCCCCGCAAGCCAGAGGTGGTACAGGAGATCAAGAACAGAGGACGCACCCTAACCTCCTCTAACGAAGAAGAGCGAGAAGCCCTGCAGGAAGCAGCCAAAAGGATCGAGACGAATACGAGAGCAGGGGACAACAAGGTCATGATTTGCACAGACAGTCAATCTCTAGTTGAGGCCATTTCGAACAGCTCCAAGGACACCGAGAACGTCAGGTCCTCCCTTAACCGCGCTGGAGCACACACGATCATCCAATGGGTACCCGGACATGTCTCCATACCCGGCAACGAAATGACGGAGACCCCTCTCAACACAGGATAGCGGCCGTGTACTCCAACCATTCCCGAGTGAGAGACAAGGAGGCTATCAAAACAAGGAAGGACGCGGTTCTGCTAGCAAGACTACGGTCGGGCCACTGCATGGCCTTCTCAGCGTACAAGAACCTGATGGACCCGACAATAGACCCCTCATGTAGACAATGCAACCAAGTAAGAGACACTGTTGAACACTGGCTAGAGTGCCCTGGCACCGCAGCTACTAGACAGGAGTTATTTGGAACCATCAACACCGACCTTGACTTTCTTACCCAATACCCGACCGAGACGTTAACGTTGGCAGCGAGGACATTGCCAAAAAGCATTCCCCGCTGATGTATATCATATTCAACAACAACAGCAGGGGGTCGAGTCCCTGAGAGGGGCATCCGCTCCCCCCCCCCCTATATCCGCCCCTGCTTGGACCATTGATTTGCGTTCAAAGGCTGTCCGTCTCTGATTGATTGAGTTGAAGCTGAAAACGAACAACGCGACCGGGGTTGCAATCATAAGCAAAAAATAACTTCACAAAAGTTGGAAAGATAATCGGAATGGGTTGGTAATTTATGAAGCTGAAACTTTACGAGGCAAAATTGAGAACTAGATAGGCGAACCATATAGTGAGTGTAGGTCCCTGGGATCCAGAGACAAACTTTTAAACATGTTTCAAATGTTCAATAATACTTTTTACAGAGATTCCGCGCAGAAAAATTGTAACGTACCGGGGTTGAAGTCCCACCGTTAATTATCGCTTTTATTGTAGTACTCCCGCAATCGCTATTTTCCATCGCTGATTCATTTGTAATTCAGAGTTTTTTGCATAGCCAGACCTGCGATATTTCAGAGCTATTTCTGTAGTGATTCTGTAGAAAAACAACATTTAAATTTTTTTTAGTTTGAACTCATTCTAGTAGCTTTCAAATGAGAGTTTTAGTTGATAAGCCCTTTAACTTGAGAAGATTAAAAACTTGATGGTGCAGAGGTAGCATACAAGTCAACAAAGGTGACAAAGCTAATGGATGCGCGATAGGTTCATTTTATATAGGTTTTTTATTGCTGTTTTAATCGCAGAAAATTAGCCAAATTAGCGATAATCTATCGATAAAATTTGCTATTGTGGCAAGGAATATCAAGAATTCATCGCTGTTTTTTTCTCTTTGTTATCCTCAATTTTCAATGTGAGCTCAACCGGGTAATTTATGTTCACAAATAAGTGGATTCAAAGTGAGCGATTAGAGTTAAATGTTCTAGGTTCTGCAAATGTAAGCAAATTATGAAAAATGTGTGCGCAATGCGCAAACATCAGCAGTTTCTGTAAAAAAAATGTAATATAATGAAAGGATTTAGGTTAATTTCATAAATTGTAAGCGGATTCCGCAAAAATAAACGGATTCCTCAAAAGTGAAATCTACAATGTAATGAATATTATTTGCTTTTGGTTTTCGCAAATTGTTCAGGATTCTACAAACTGATTTGCGAATTCCACAATTCGACTATTTTGTTTGCTTATAGAGCAAGTTTAAGCAATACGGTGTTTTACAGGTCGTTTGTGAATTCCAAAACTGTTTTAAGATTTAAAAAAAGTGGGACTGTTGCGGATTCCTCGGCCTTCTGCATAACTTAATGCACCGTTTCTCCCCACTTTCAGTGGTCGAACATATTGATGTAAAAACGATAGAAGATAAAGTTCCTTATATAATTTTTGAAGGACTCATCTAAATTATCAAATTGTTATGAAAATCTGCTCTCCCCTACTTTGCTGAAATTCAAAATCTGTAAGCAATAGAAAAAGTAGAAGAAAGACGCAAGCATTTCATATAGAGTTTACGGTAAAAACTATCTGGGCAGATTCAAGTTTCGATTTACGAATTACGAACGAGAATGATTCAGCTCAAACCGTGTCTGCATTTGTCGGTTGCGAGGAGGTTGCATTTCCCCGAGGGTGGATGACTCGGCCCCTGTATGCTCCGAGGTGTCACAGGAGTCGCGGTCACACACTTTGCCCGTCACTGTCATTCGACGTACTCCAGTTTGGAGCTCACTTCAAATCAACAAAGATACAATAATCATTTTAATACTCAACATCCAACCAGAAAGGATCATTTCTGCAGTTTCTGCTGAACGGAATATCAAAAAGTTTTTTTTCCTTGCCCAAAATTATTTCTTTTTTTCGTCAACATTAAATTTTAAAAAAATAGATTTCCTCCCCTCCCGTCCCCATCCAACCAATTCCCCCGCCAACCTCACAACCAACCACTTCTTACTGCAACCGTGTCTCTAATCCACAAAAAGGTAAGGCTTAAAAAAAGGAAAGAGTCAAAATAAACAGCCTGTCGTTAGATGTCAGTTTTCAAAGTGTGCTCACTTGATCTCCTTCTTGAGCTTGTCCATCTGTGCCTCCTGTTCCAACAAGAGACTCATCCTCGCCTGGTTCTGTTCCTCCACCTCAAAATACTTCTCAATGATCCCATCCGCATCCGCACTGTCACACAGGGCCCTAATCAACATCAACAACATCTCATGGTTCCTAATAGAACGTTTCGACCAACTCGACCAAAACTCAAATGTTTCGACCGTGCTCGACCAAAACTCAGATGTTTCGACCAACTCGACCAAAACTCAGATGTTTCGACCGTGCTCGACCAAAACTCAGATGTTTCGACCGTGCTCGACCAAAACTCAGATGTTTTGACCGTGCTCGACCAAAACTCAGATGTTTCGACCGTGCTCGACCAAAACTCAGATGTTTCGACCGTGCTCGACCAAAACTCAGATGTTTCGACCGTGCTCGACCAAAACTCAGATGTTTCGACCGTGCTCGACCAAAACTCAGATGTTTCGACCGTGCTCGACCAAAACTCAGATGTTTCGACCGTGCTCGACCAAAACAAATGTGCTTGACCGCTCTCGACTTTCCAAGCAAGATATATTTCGACCGTCTCTACTGAAATTCGACGTGTTTCGGCCGTGCTCGACCGTGCTCGACCCAAGCAAGACATGTTTGCTCGGCTGAAACTGTGTATGTTTCGACACATGAGCTATCCTCCAAAATTCAAAGTTCTGATGTTTTTTTCAAAAGGAGTTTTTAGAGTAATTAGCCATTTATATGCTATGTAGAGATTAACTGTTTCTGGGCTGCTTTTTCTATCTTTTGGAATACTGGTTCGCAATTTGAGCTGAAGCAAAGTTTTTATTGACATGATTCGACCAAGCGCGAGGTAGGTTTTGACCGCGCGCGAGGTATGTTTCGACCGAGCTCGAGGTATGTTTCGTCCGTGCTCGAGGTATGCTTCTAAGTGTGTTTCGACCATGTTCGAAGAAAGTTTAGACCGTGCGCCAGGTATGTTTCGTCTGCGTGCAAGGTATCCCGGGTTGACCTCCATAGACCGAAAATGCTAATCATACAATTTCATACACTTAGTCTATGGAAAAATGCTAGTCATACAAATTTCATACTTTTTTGCAAAATGATTTTAATCGAATTTCAAAGGTATTTTATAGTTGTTTTGGTATCGAAATTGGTATCTCTTTTTAAAAAAAGGAAAAAAAATGGTATGAAAAAAAAAATGCTAACCATACAATTTCCATATGTGGAAATTGTATGATTAGAATTTTTTTTAAATTTTTTTTTGTGCAAAAAAAGGTTTGAACAATCAATTCAACTGCTAGCAAAACATTTAAGCGTTTTTTGGGCTGCTACGACTGAAAACGTTGACTTTTTTCATTTTTGTTTTCTGAAAAAAAACACTAGTCATACAATTTCCATATATGGAAATTATATGACCAGCATTTTTTTGATGGCGACGACAAAATTTTTTCAAGTATTTTTGAAATTGCCCCCAAAAATTTTTGTGTTTTTTTTTCAACCGCAAATTGATTTTCGTATTCAAACAAACATTTTTTAAATTTTTTGTGTGTATAACGGAGTCCTGGATATACTAGTATTCGATTTTTTTCCTTTTCTCTTCATAACTTTTTTCAGAAACGCTTAAAACTATTCTTTCTTTTGTCTGACATGTTTTTGTATGCCTTGATCAATGTCTGGTAATTTAAAAATTCAAATTTTAGAAATAATCGTCTTTGAAAATTATTGCCAAAAATTAAAAGCTCATTACTTTCCTAATATTATTTGTCTGAGACAGAAGTAACACATATCAGGCTGTTTCCAATGCATTTTTAATGCGAGACGGCCAAACCGTTGGTTATTACGTTTGAATAATCAAGGTTTATGTCATTTGTGTTCGGTTACGAACACAACCAAAAAATTTTCAGAAATTAAAATGTAAAAAATCAATATTTTTGGTTTATGGAAAAATGCTAGTCATACAATTTCCATAGATGAAAAAATACTAATCATAGACCTTTCATGCAATTTTCTGTACGTATGGAATTGTATGGAAAGTGTATGACTAGCATTTTTCCATATATGGAAATTGTATGACTAGTATTTTTGGTCATCCCGGGATGTTTCATCCGAGCACTAGGTACGTTTCGTCCATTCTCGATGCTCGAGGTGGGTTTCGACCGTGCGCAAATTATATTTTGACCGTGCGCGAGGTATGTTTCGTCCGTGTTCGAGGTAGGTTTCGACCGTGCTCGAGATATGTATTGACCCTACTCGAGGTCTGTTTCATCTGTGTGCGAAGTATGCTTCGTCCGTGCGCGAGTTAGTGTTCGACCATGCGCGAGGTACGTTTCGACCGTGTTCGATGTTTATTTCCAGTTTGTGCTCGACCTTAACACCTGTCCCGTCTATTCTTTTTCGGTCAAGCACTGACATGTGCTCGACTTTGAAAGTCAAAACATAAAGTGAGCACCTCGACCTGGAATGTTAATTGAAGTGTTTTGCGCCATATGCTTTGGAACGTTTTTTGGCTCTTTTCAACTCTTTCCGCCCACATTTCAAACTTTCCATTTTTTCGGTTGTTCTACGTGTTTATATGATTGAGCACCCGGTATGAAGTTTAAATGCATTTACATTAGTTAGTCTGTTATGCATGCATCATTTCATTGCAATATGACAACGTTAAGTTTGATTGTCAAAACTGAAAATCAATGAGGGGAGAAAAGGGAAAAAAGCCCGTTTCTTTGGGTCTGTTTTACTCCCCCCGTCCCTACTGCGAATGTTTTTGTTCACGTTGTCCGATTGTTACAAAATTGGCATGCTGACTAATAATTAGGCCATTCAAATAGAAGTTTTGAAAAGCTGGGGAAAGTGGAAAATTAGCCGATTCTTTTCGGGATGGGGGAGGAAGTTGGGCTCTTTTCCAGTTCCCCCCTTTCAAAATCAATTTTGAAAAACTTATATAATATTGTCATAATGCAATGAAATTTGGCGTGGTGAACAATTCGACAATTGAGAACAAATTTGTTCTTCATTTTTTACAGCGTAACATCACGCATTTAGCCGTAATTACACGTAAAACAAACATAAAACTCGGTATTTTGAAAGGTGGGGGGGAACTGGAAAAGAGCCGGAAGTTGAAAATAAGGGACGTAAAAGGGGGCGCTATTTGTGAAGAGTGGCTGGCTTTTCCACCCGGGTCGAGGTCCCAGACTCATGTCCAGACTTTCGCGACAAAATTTTGGCATGTCAAGATTTTCCAGACCAAAATTAGGCATGTCCAGACTTTGGCGACCAAAATCTGGCATTTCCAGACTTTTGCGACCAAATTTTGGTATGTCCAGACTTTCGCGGCTCACTGCGCGCCAAGGCAATTTGGGTCTAAATCTGGATGTGGCGCGACCCTTAAAGTCTGGACATGAGTCTGGGACCTCGACCCGGGCAGTCCCCATCTTTTTCTGAAATTTCTACAACTTTTCTCACATTCAATTCGACGTGTGAACAGCTTTAAAATTTAATTTTACAAGGGGAGGTACTGGACAAGAGCCATGTTTTATTATAATAATAATAATAAATTGTTTCCAAACGATATCTAGTTACAAAGTTATTTAAAAAAATTTATAAAATCAAACTAGAATCGTTCGGGAGAACACCATTAACCCAACAAGGCCCGTTTTCAGGTGTCTCATTAAGCGGAAAACAAAAAAATTACCTAAATTCTTTAATCCAATGCAATAGATTTTCTACCGGTAACCATTTTTTAAACGTAAAACCTCTTTATTCGCACCTTTAAACCATTCTCTATAAAAAAATTAATTTAGTTTTCTCAGATAGTCTTTTCTACCCATAACTTAGAAACCAACAGAAACAAGTTCTACTTATTGATCAAAAAAAGTCTCAAAGCATGCCCAGTAAAATCGTTTTTCCTAGAATGTAACTATCCAAAAATTTATGATTAAAACTATTTAATTGAAACCGAGAAGCCCCTTTCAAGAAATTGACCAGGTTGGGGAAAAACTTATTACGAAGTTGAACATTTTTCTAATTTTAGGTGTAATCGAACCTCTGTTGAATTTATTTCTGTTTATAGCTAACTTTTGATTTAGTTTTTTGCTTTGAAAATATCACGTTCAATTCTTGCTCAGTAATAGAATATCTCAAGGTTTCAACTTGGCACTCTTTTCGAATAATTTTTCCGGTTAATTTCAGAACTTCGTAAGCCAAAAACTCTCTTACGGTTTATATTTTGTTATCATGCATTATTTCAGTGATTGAATTCATCCTGTGTTTATAAAAAATTATTCTGATTAGCCTTCTGATTTTCATTTCCAGTTCTAACAGTTTGGTTTTGTCGGTATTTGCATAAGCTAAAACTCCATATTGGATGATTGGTTGCACGTAAGTTTTATACGCAAATATTAATTGCTGTCCAGTTAGAAACTTTCTCAATTGAAAAAACACTCCACAGAATTGCAAAATTTTGTTCTTTACTTTATCAATATGCTGATGAAAATTCAATTTACAGTCAAGGAGAATTCCAAGATATTTAAAACATTCAACATCTTCTATTTGGGTGTCATTTAAAAAATAATTTACTGGTCGTTCTTCAGTTTTCGTGCTCCGACAGTATCTCATGGTCTTGGTTTTTTTGACATTCAGTGTCAGTTTGTTCTTGTCTAACCAATCATTTACTTCAAGCAAAGCTGATCTATGTGCAAAAGCAATATAGTCTTTGTTGTTTGTGGATTTCAGAACAGTGTCATCAGCATACAAAAGTACCCCTGTGTTTTTTGTGGCTATTTGTAGATCGTTTATGTATAATATGAACAAAAGTGGGCTAAGGATAGATCCTTGAGTACACCAAAGGATACCAGTTTAAGTTCGGTCTTAAAAGAGTTAGTTTCAATGTACTGATAGCGATTGTCAAGGTAAGATTCCAATAGATTTAAGACAGGCCCTCTGAATCCCATTTGTTCCAACTTTATTAACAGATTAGAGTGATCAACTGTGTCAAAAGCCTTTGTTAGGTCTAAAAACGTATTCTGAACAGTTAGTTTTTTGTTCGATAGCGATGTTGAAACTTCTTCCAACAATGTAAGGATGGCGTCAACAGTGCTTCTATTTGATCTGGAGCCAAACTGAGTGTTTCGGATGATATTAAACTTGTCTACATATGATTGGGCTCGTTTAAAAACTATACGCTCAAAAGTTTTGCCCAGAACTGGAAGAAGCGAAATTGGTCTATAGTCTGAGTGGTCATCGATGTCTCCCTCCTTGAAAATTGGAACAATTTTTGCAATTTTTTAACAATTTGGATAGACTCCTGAGGTTAGGCAGTCATTAAAAACTTCAGTCAAAGAACCTGCTAGTGTAGTTTTTAAATGCTTGACGAGAACAGTGTTGATATCATAGCAATCTGTTCTATATATATTTTTTAAATTTCGATGACTTCAATGACTTCAACTAAATCAATTTTTTTCAAAAACAACGATTGCTGCTGACGTATAACATTATTTTCCATGCAGTTTGGTTTGCTCTGTGTAAGTCTGGCGCCAATATTTGCGAAGTATTCATTAAAATGCTCAGCGTTCCCGTTAGATAGATTTAAAGATTTAGAATGTTTCCCTTTACCTTTCATTTCCTTAAAAATTTTGAAAAAAGTTTTCGTTTTACAATTAGACTCAAGCATTAGTTTATTTTGATAGTATTTTCGTTTTGTACGGATGATTAGATTTTTGACAATTTTATTCTGGGAACTATACTTATTCCGGGCAACCGTTGTCTTAATATTCAAAAACTCTTGTCGTAACCGTCGCTTTTTTGCTGCATTTTTTACTTCATTGTCAATCCATGGATGTCTTTTTGCTTGCACTAGTAAACGCTTTGGAAAATAACTATCAACTGCCTTCATAAGGATCGAAGTTATTTTTCTAAAATCTTAGAAGACATTTGAGGGCCTTCGGGATTCTATAACTGCATACATTTGCCAATCTCATGTTGCAAATAAAAACGTAACTTTTCACTTATATCCCTTTGTTTCAACTTGTTCCAGTTTCTAGCAAACTTTTTTCAGTAAAAACGTCCTTTTTCGGAAAATTTGAAAAAAACTCAACATCAAAATGATCAGACACTGAATTTTTGATGGTTTTGGTTGAGAAACTTGATGTACAGAAAAAAAAAAGTCAATTAAAGTGCTACTACGTTCTGTCACTCTTGTTGGGAGGCAGCTCATTTTCTTTTCTAACATGCCATTTCCTATCATATTATCCTCAATTGTTTTCCGCTTTGTCGAGTTTAACAGAAAATTTACGTTGAAATCACCACAAACTATGTGATCAGTTTCAGGCCCTAGCGTTAATCCATCCAAATAATTTTGCATGCTTTCGAAGGTAGCGTTGTTTAGAAAGTTTGGTGGAATGTAAACACAGATTACTACAATTTTCTGTTTTATTTGTGTTTTTATTAGAGCTGACAAGATTTGGATATTGTTATCTTTTTTTTGTTTTATTATCCTATGATCTGACCCAGTGTTAAAATATATGCCAATACCTCCTCCTCGTTTAATTCTAGCGCAACTATAGAGAGGTTCGTATCCTTGAATTTGAAAAATATTATTGTCAGAGTTATTTTTGAGCCAGGTTTCATTTAAACAAATGATATCTGGACGTTGGGCCAACTGTTCTATTTCTAATTCCAATTCTTCAAAGTTTCGGGGCAGTGATCTGATGTTTTGTAAAAACACTGAAAAAGTTTCAGAATTTGTTTTCTCCATGTCTCTGTTAACCATATGTTCTGTGTACAATGTATTTCTCGCGTGGTTTCTTAATTAGTTGAAAATTTAACCAATTTGTGAAGATCAATGAGTTGTCAGAAATCAGAAGCCACCCAGGGCAGTGCGGTACTCGCACAAACTCTAGGTAGTTTCTCCTCCTTGTCTAGAATATTCTTTTTCTTCGCAAAAATAGGAATATTGCTAGCTTTCAATACTATACACGTATAGGGTTCTTTAATTTCCCCTCCAATCCCTCGCCTCCTTCTTTTCCTTTTTCAGCTTACATACTTTTCCTTTTTCCTGAACTTTTCCATTTTATTTTCATTGTTTTCCTCATTTTCAGCATCTACAATTAAAGATCGCAAGAGCAGTGCGGAAATCACGCAAGCTCTGGGAACTAAAAGAGCAGGATAAATTTTTTTGGTCTTATTCTAGTTTTGTTTTAAAAGAAAATAAAAAATAATTTAGTTTAATTAACCACAAAGCAGCGCGGAAATCGCACCAACTTATTATTGGTTTTTCTTTTTTAAAGGAAGACTACTTGTACTGTTCGTCTTTATTAGGTTTTAGACCAGCAGTGCGGAAATCACACAAACTAACCTAAGGTCTTGTTAGAGAATAATCATTTATTTGTTTGCTGATATTTCCTAAGTTAAGAAAAATATGAAAACGAAACGCAAAAAAATATTTTTAAGAAAGAAAAAATTATACGATAAAAAAATAGAAAAAATTAAAATCGATTTTTGTCACTCGTGTTTTGCTATTTTGTAGTCCGCCTAAGGGGAATAATAACAGAGAGTAATTCAACATGTTTTGTCACAAACATAACCACTTTGGGCTAGAATAGCAGTTTATATGCTTGACAGTATAATTCAATTCATTTTGTGTTTTTTTTTGTCAAATTATAACAGGCGGCACACCTTATCCGTTCAAAATCCAATCAATGAGTTGGTTTTTTGTTTGCAGGGGATTCCCCTTCATTGTTGTCATGACGAGAGTCGGTGTAGATTCGTTTTTTTTTTCACTTTACAGCATTAATCGTTTGCAATTCATCTACTGCGTCAACTCGCCTAAACTTTGTTTCGCCCCGACGCTTTTCCTTATGGACAAGCACTGATACGATGCAGTTATGAGTGGTAGTTTTTAAGTCCATATCATTGGCCGCTTTCTTAATTATTGCCTCTCGTTCAGGAAGACGTTCCGTATTATATATGTTACGCTTTTTTAAAATGTTTTTCTGATATTTCAGATTCCTCCTGGCCTTGTATCCAGCGTGCTTATCGTCGAAGTATACAAACTTGCAAATGATAGTGGGCATATTATTTCCGTAATTTCCCATATACATGTGACAAGCTTTAATTCCCCCACGAGAAATGTTAACTTTCAGACTTGTCCTGAAAAAATCACTTATCGCATCCGTAACGTCATCTACTGCCCTTGCATCGAACGGCGGTTTCCATACAAGCACACTATCCTTGCTAGTATACCTTTCCTGAGCTCGCAGACTGGTATCTATGTTTAACTGCTTAAGTTTAAGACCCGTAATTTCACATTCTTGTTTTTCAACTTTTTCCCGCAAAAATAACAGTTCCGTTTCCATATTACTCACTTCTTTATCTCCCGTATTTTTACTGACGGATACCTCTTGGGTTGCAGAAACCTGAAGCTGAGTTCAATTGTCGGTTTCCATCATAATAACAAAAACTCAAATTGATAACAAAAAAAATCAAGGAAGAATCGCTTTTTTTTAAACGTCTGAAATAATTACTCAGTATGGGAAATTATCTGAGAATTTTTGATAACAATCAGAGATTATCAATTTATCAAGGCTTACGAATTTGCCGTAGTTTTGAATTTATTTGAGGCTTGATTCAATTTGAGGGGTTACATTCGTAATTTTGTCATTCAAACTTTTTATTGTTTGATCTTTTCTTTGTAGTTTCGAAAAAAACGTTTAGAACATTTGCAAGGTCAACCGACCAATTTCTAAGTTTGAATTGCTCTTTTTATTATGGCTTAACGCGTAATTTGGCGTAGAAAAGTATAAAGAGCAAATTTGTATGCAAATTTGTAGCAAATGGGGTAAGAAACTGGAAAGAGCGGAGTGATGTACTACTCACTTGACCTCTATCATCTGCCTGCTCATGTTGTGCACGTGGTCCTTGATGTTCCTCCACTGTCTGCTGTCGGCCGTGGCCATCTCACTCGCTCTCCTCTGCCCCACCCGCTTCAGAATCTCAGTCTTCACATCCTCCTGCTGAATGTGCTGCACCTTCATGTCCCGCAAGTCCATGATCAGACTGTTCTTGTTCCGCTTCTCCAAACCAGCACGGTACAGCCACTAAATAATCATCAGCATTGAGCTTGTTTACTAGAAGTAAAGTTTACACCTGCAACCTTTGAAATTGGAATCCAGGAGCTGAGGAAAGTGCTTCTGAAAGTAGAAAAATTAATATCATGAAATTGCAGAAAAATTGTTCTTACGCCAATTTTTTCTGTAGCGGAATTGTTGTAAATTTTTGTTCACGCGTTCACGGTGACACGTAATATTGTAGTTTAGAACATCAGGCTCTTTCGAGCCCCCACTTTGTTTTTTTTGAAATTCATTATATAGAGTTCTATTTAAAATGGCTTTTCATGTTATAAACGGCCTTAAAACAGGTCAGCGTGACCAGGCGAACAAATGTATACCGTGTGAACAATTTTTGAGCAGCTATTTTGTAATTCTACGATGTTGGTGGGAAATTCGGCTCTTTTCCAGTCCCCCCCCCCCCCCCCCCTTCAAATTCAAATTTGAAAAGCTTATTAAACATAGCCATAATGCAATGAAACTTGGCTTGGTGAACAAATCGACAACTGTGATCAAATTGTTCTTCATACTTTACAGCGTAACATCACGTCACGCTTTTAGCCGTAATAACACGTAAAACAAACATAAAAGTCGGTATTTTGCATGGGTGAATTGGAAAAGAGCCGGAAATTCGAAAGGATTCGCCCATCAGATGGAATTTTTAGTAGGGTTTTGTATAATGAATCTCAGAAAAAACCAAAGGGGTTGAGGGCTGGAGAGAGCCGAAATTTTAAATTAATTTGACAATAATTTTGTCATGAACTATTTAGTCGGCATGCGTCACAATTAGAAATGCAAACCAAAATTTTTAAATAAAACTTCGGAAAATTATAAAGAAGCGCGTATCTTTTTACCAAAATGACTATAAGTACGGCTGTGTGGCTAAATAATGAGCCTACCCTGCTGGCCCATCGGATGAATGCGAGACGACTG